AACTGAAGTGTATGGGAGCTTTGACATGACCTTTGAGCTCTCCAAACAGGAAGCAGTAGGATCTTTGTAGGTTTTTATGGAGCAGGACCGGGTCCATTAAAGTCTGTCAGGGCTACACCAGGATTCATTGGCAGCAAGAAGTCACCCATCAGTGGGGTAGGAAAGAGGCAACTTATTGTGAGTAGCAGGTTATGTGCCATGTGTGATTGGCAGCAGGTAGGATATAGTGGGTTGGTAAAAATCCATCTCATTGGGCTAGTAGGGGAAGGATAAGACTGGAGGCAAGAAAGGGAACTAATTAATGCAGACTTCTGAAGAAAGTGTGTGTGTGTGTGTGTGTGTTTTACTTGCCTGTGTGTTGTTGAACCAATAGTTGCCAGGTGCCCTCAGGCTAAAGAGGGCATTAGATGCCTCAGAGCTGTACTTACAAACAGCTGTGAGCCACCATGTGGCTCCTCTGGAAGAGCAGCTAGTGTACTTAATTGCTAATCATCCATCCACCCCCTTTTCTGAAATTTTGCTTCAGAATGGAGTAGATGCTACAGAGAAATTAAAGGGAGGATTATATGTAAGGCATGTTACCACTGTGAAAAGACATCAAACAAAAAACTTCATATATTTTAGTATTCGAGGACTGGATTTTCAAGTTGCCACCACTATCAATACCTTAGTGACAAAGCAAAGTATGAGCTATGTGAACTTGAAACTTGGTATACTGTATCTTCCATTTCCAAATTGGTGTGAGCATAAGTTGAGACCTCTGATCTATAGACCTCTGATCTATAGCCAACCTATAGACTTGGCTTTGTCTTTTGCCTCTCTGCCTCCTGAGTCGCATGGGCTACTTAATAATCTTATTCCTCCTCAAACTCCCTTTTTGAGACAGGATCTTTATAGCTTTGGCTGTCCTATAATTGGCTATGTACCAGGCTGGCTTGGAACTCTACCTGCCTCTGCAGGTGCTGGGATTAAAAGTGTAAATCATGACACCTAGCCCTAATTAAGGTTTTAATAAATGAAGTCATTCTAGTTGAGAACAGAATTAACTCTTCTATGCCAGATGTCTTTAGATAAAAAAAAAAAAAAATTCAAAACATGTCAGCCCTTTTTTGGTTTTCTCTCCCTGCTTTTTTTCTCCTGATGGGATTAAAGCTCAGAGCCTTGCACTCATTACACATTTGTCCCATTTTCTTAATGTAGTGATATGTTGCATTCATAGTCATATGCTGGACAATAGACTGTAACAGAACCTTAATTGTCAAGATTCTAAGAGCCAGGGCTGGAGCACTGGCTGCTCTTCCAAAGGTACTGAGTTCAGTTCCCACAACCATGTGGTAACTCTTAACCATCTATAATGAGACCTGGTGACCTCTTCTGGTGTGCAGGCATACATGTGAGCAAAACACTACATAATAAATCTTAAAAAAAAAAAAAAAGATTCTAAGAGCTTGTCATTTTCTTGATGACTTGAGGTGATACCAAAAGCTCTTGATAATCAGCTTCTCAGGACTGGTGAGGCTTTGGGGTAAGGGTAATGAGGCAATAATAACCGATACATACTGGTCTTTGGATGACAAGATGTATAGCAATGATGGTTATGAAGTAGTTGAAGAGAGATAATTGTCAGAGTAAGGAAAAGAACAGGTCCACTGTAAGCTTAAGATTTATAAATTCACTGAAAAAGGTACTTTTGGGGCAAAGGGTGATTCTTTAGAGTTCTAGAAGTTTTCTTTTTTCTTTCTTTTATGGGGGGGTAATTTACACACTTAACAACCACTTTAAGAAAAGAGAGCGTGTGTGTGTTTACACATCAGAGGATGGCTTTCAGGTTCTCATTTCAGCCATTTCATTGGCTTCATTCTGTTAAGTGTACAATACACTACTTGTAGATTTTACAAGATTGTAGAACCATCACTAGTATCTAATTCCAGAATATTTTCATCACCTCCAAAAAGAAACCCTACACCCACTAGTGGTCATTTTCTTTTCCCGTGTACCTCTAACCCAGTGGTTTTCAACCTTCCTAATGCGGCATTCCTTTAATACAGTTCCTCATACTGTGCCTGCCAACCATAAAATTAATGTTGTTGCTACTTCATAACTAATTTTGCTACTGTTGTGAATCAATGTAAATATCTGATATACAAGATATTTGATAAATGACCCACAAAAGGGCCACAACCCCATGTTGAGAACTGCTGATCTATGGAATGAAAATGCTGGAGCTGAACTCCACCCTCAGTGTTATCTCTGCTGACGGACATTTGGGGTCCCACTTGGCTATTGTCAATACAAACCTACAAGCATTTCAACAGAACCTTCAGTGTGGATACATCATGTCACTTCTCTTGGGTAGGTATGGAGTACTGAGAAGTGGAATTGCTGTTATGTTCCTGAGCCTATTTACAGCTTTACTTTGTTGCCATTTCTGGAGAACTGGATTCTACCTCAGTGCATTTCCAGTGTTTTCCTTAGAACATTTTCACTTATTCTGGTGATTTTATGGCTTGTCCACTGTAGTCCTGGGTGAATAGCTCATGTTAATAGCATTTTTTTTCTTTATTCTGTTCTCTTTTCTTTGAAATAAAAAACACTTATCTTAACTTCAACTACCCCAAAGAAGCGCCATATAGTTCACCCTTTTTAATTATTTGGAGTGCTACAGAGCTTTGTGATTTCTGAACAAAGGCTGTGTCCTCACCCCTGAATTTTTACCCTTGTGGATATATTTTTTCTGATATTATTTTATTTTGCTTCTGTTAAATTACTCTTACCATGTTCAGTTACCTCTATCCCCTCTATCTGTTTTCAAATTATTAGCTAATCATAATTTATCTATTTGCCTAGCTGGGTACAAGGATTTCCCCAGTATTCTTGATTTCTTAACCTCTGTTTAATCATCATCTATTACACACCTTATTTTCTATTTTCTCTCTTCTTGCCCTTGAGCTTGTCAAATTGTACGAAATAGGATCAGTTTTTACTGTAAATTCATGGTATTCAGGTTCAAGTGGGCACATTAAGCTTTTTCTGTTCATATTTAAGTGATTGCTTGTCACAACTACCTCCTGAAGGGAGTTTAAGCTCACAAATTCTGAGGCCTCAGTCTGACCTGTGCTTTTGTTGTTTTGTTTGAGGCAGGGTCTCAATATGAACCTTGTATGTAGTTTAGGCTAATATTAAATTCAGAGATATGCTTGCCTGGGATTACAGTTTTCACCACCATGCCAGGCTGAGCAGTACAGTTTAATAGAGAAATGAAGTTTACTAAAGATCTCGGCTAGCTAATGTGCATGTTTTCTCTCCTTGAATTCTGGCCTGACTAAACCCTTAGACTTGGTATTTCTGTACCTACTGACACTAGCTCCTTAACACTCTACTGTTCTTCTCTACCAGTTATTTTACTGTTCAAGAAGAAAAAAACAATGCCATTTGTCCTATAACCTCTTCAGTGACTGGGACGACCCACGATGTATAATCCTCCTCCTCTTTCCTTCCTTGACAGTGTCTCATGTAACCCAGGCTGGCCTTAAGTTTGATTTTAGCTGAGAAGGATCTTGAATTTGTGGTGCTCCTGCTCCCCAATTCCGAGGGCTGAAATTACAGAGCTGTGCCACAACCATCATGCCTTATTTTATAGAATGCTGGGTATATTCATGCATTCTGGTCAAGCACTCCACTACTGAACAACCCTCCCAGTTCCCAACGGGACTTGTGCTTCCTAAATACCCTCTATCTCCTTTACATTTATTTCTAACTTTTATTTTAAATGCTTTCTCAAGCAACACCTGCTCACCATTTTTGGCCTTTATCCTTTTAGTTCCCATGGATACCAATGGGCCATTTCAGTTTCAGGGCCTCTTTGAAGGCCCTTGAACTGTTTCTTTTTGTTAAGTTGGGAAAAACTAAAATATTTAGGAGCTCTTCACCCAAACAAACCCCCGTTCATTCCATAAAAGTTCATGTGAAGAGGCTAGAGATGGATCAATGGCTTAGTGCACTTGTCCCTCTCCCTGAGGTCTCAATTTTGATTCCCAGTATGCCTACAGCAGCTCACAAACTGGAGTCCCTGGGGGCCTCCGTGGGCACAAAGCACGCTCACGGTGCACGGACATAGACGCAGGCAGAACACTTTTTTTTTTTAAGCTCATGGGATGTGTTACAGTCTAGAGATGGGACATATCTTCAGCTTGGTCACAGCTCATTGCTACATTGTGACACATCTTTGGCTGTCCAAAATACAAAACAAAACAAAACAATTTCCATACTCAGGTTCCAGATATGGTCCTCAAAATTGTAGGTTCAGGAACTCGATTTTAATAAACAGTTTGGTGAATAAAGGTAACTGAGTACTGGGAGGATAATGCAGAACCAAACTTAAAACACTTGTTTTTACATCTTAGTATGCAAGAATGAACCCTAGGTGCTGGCTAGAATATGCATTCCTCTTGCCAAGGATACTTCCCTGGGTCGAGCTATTTTAGGAAGCAAATATGATTACAAATTGTGTGGCCACTGTGAACACAAGTAAAAATATTTGGCCTCACAGTCTCCGTCCCTTAAAAAAAACGAGGGAGACTCCATTTCCAGGTTTCTTGTAGGATGTCAGCATATGCGTGGTAATGGGCTACCGATTTTGCCCTGTCATGGCTCATCTGTTCGTTAAACGTAAGGTTTAAGTTTTAGGCTCCAGCGTACTCCACTTGCCATAAGCACCCACGCCAGCACCTTTCTTCCTTTCTTGTCTTCTCTGGGCTCCAGCCCAACTCTTTCCTTACCAGGCTGGCATCCCCAGCGTCCTTTTACATGTCCGGTCTGCCAACGGTTACCTTATTCACCTACTTGCGCTAAACAACCTACTACGCTCTTGCGATCCACAGCCCGGAACGCAAAGGAAGCGAGGAATCGCTGCTGGGCGGAACCTCCCCGGGTGGGGCCCGCGCTCCGCCGATTTCCGCCCCGCCCCGTCCCGCCCCGCCCCGCCGCGCCTCGCCCTGGGGCGGGGCAAAGCTGAGAAACCTCACGGTCACCTCAGTCCCACGTAACCGTCGCCTTCGCCCTCCTCGAGGCCACTCGAGCAATCTGCGCTCCCTTGAGGGCTGAGGTCTCCAGGCACCGGCAGGAAGGGCCCTACAAACTTCAGACTCTTAGGTGTGGAGACGCGGCCGTCAGCTGACCGAACCTGCGGGATCCAGGTGAAGGGGCGGGGCGGGAAGGCGCAGAGCCAATCATGGCGCTTGACGACAGGGCTCAGCCAATCAGGACCAGGGAGGCTCCGGCGCAGGCGGGGCGGGCCCGGGCTGGCGGGGGCCGCCCCCTTGCAGCTGGGAGGCCAACGCCTTCGCCCAGGGCTACTTGGAGTGGTGCAGCTTTCCGGAGCTGAGCGGCCCCGGGGTTCTCGGCCGCGGTGACCTCTTTCCCCAGGTCATTTCTCTGCTGCTCTTGGCCTTGACAGGTGCTGGTGTCCCTGCCTGTGGACGCATTCTGACTCGGGCCCTTCCTCTCTCTGGAGACTGCCTATGGCTGGGGACCGAGTGAGGTCGTTGCCTTGACGACGACAGCATGCGGCCCACGGTCCTCGGAAGTGTGAGCTTGTGGAGGGCAGAAGCCAATCTGCCTCCCTGCCTGCTTCACCTAGGACCCATAACTGCGTCCGCAGAGGAAATCCCAATATTAAAATTGCTAGTTTGCTAGTCAGCATCTTTTAGATCTGCTAGCGAGATGCATACCACCTCCAGTTTGTTTCCAAGTTGAAAACCTTTGGCTCTTTCCATGTGAAGGGTGTGGAAGAAATAGTAAGTATAATACTTTTTAGAGCCCTGTTGGCTCGTTCTTTTATCTGTAAGAGATTTCAGTCTGATTTTAGCCAAAGAAAATTGGTGGTTTTTGAACAGTATGCTTGTATGGCACGGATGTTAAATTATTATAGTGCCATCCTACGAGGCTTCCTTTTTGTATGTCACGTGATACCCATAGATTTAAGAGTGGAAGGCAAGGAAAGACGTAGGTAATGAGTAACCGAGGAAACAAGGCATGTTTTAGTCCAGGTACTTTTAAGGTATTTTAGACAGGCCCACTTGAACGAGGTGTGCTCAGTGTAGCGTGTCATGTGTCCACCTGGTTGAGAAAATAAACTTGGAGTAGTCCACCTGTATAATGCTAGCTTGTGATACGTTTCAGAAGCCTGTAGACATCTTAAGGTAATTTTTATTTTGTTCCCTTTGCATCTTCAAATGCCTAGGATGCCAATTACAATCTGTTTAAAAGCGATCCAGGGGATAGATTCCAGCTCTTTGTGTTATTGGTATTACTAGCCTAAAGCTTACTCCTTCATAACGTATACTTAAGGGAAGGCTAAAAACTGAGCTAGTTGGATTACACTGAAAGTTTTTCCAAATGTACATTTTTTATTAATAAGTAATTAAAGGTAAAAAGTTAAAATGTCTAATATATGGGAAGTCAGTTTCTGTGACACTGTAAATAGTTTTGAGTAGAATCTAATACCCAAACTGGTAATAAAACAGTGAAGGATTTTGAATTCGATGTCAGGGATTGTTTTCATTCCATATCCTTCTTTTGTTTTTTTTTTATGTTTAGCTGTATTTATAGTATGCAAATAATGGGTGCTGGATAGTGTACTTCAGTGGTAGAACCAATACCTGCTTAGCCTGTTGGAGGCCATGGTGCTTAATTCAAACGCTCGCACTCGCGTGTGCTCGCGTGTACACACACACACACACACACACACACACACACACACACACACACTCATAAAACCTCAAACTGTTAAATGTCAAGTGTTGGAAATTATTTTTTATAATAAAAAGACAGTGGGGTTTTTTTGTTTGTTTCCCTCTTTCCCCCTTTTGCTTTTAATATACAGATAGAGAAACTACTAAAAATCACCACCCTTTCCACAAGTTTGTGATAAGTTGTTTTGTATGCTCAGCTTTAAAAATTCAACTAGGAGCCATTATTTGAATATCAACTTACCTAATATTTTTAAACATAAACTTAGCTAATGTTTAGGCCCTCCCAAATCCCTGTTGAAACCAAATCAGGACCTAGAGCAATGTGGGGTTTGTTTTGTTTTGTTTTTCTTTGTTTTTTAATTCATGGCCACTGGAATTTAAATTTCAAAAATCAGACTTTAAAAAAATAGATAAAATTTATGCTGGGCATGGTAGCATACTTTCTCTCTCTCCCTATGTATATACAGTATATGTGTATATGATATGAATATGTGTGCTGTAATGTTCAAACCCAGGGGCTTCATACCCATGCTAAGTACACACTCCACCACACACATTCCCAGCCCTAAAATACAATTTTTTTTCTGTATTAAACTGAATTACTGATAAAATAAGATTCCATTTATGAGTGACTTTATTCATAAAATGCCTTATAGTAAGATGTAAAAGAATCCTGGCTGGCTTGAGAGATGGCTCAGAGGTTAAGAGCACTGGCTGCTTTTCCAGAGGTCCTGAGTTCAATTCCCAGAAACCATATGGTGGCTCATAACCATCTATAATGAGATCTGGTGCCCTCTTATGCCAAGCAGGTATACATACAGGCAAATCACCCCATACCTAATAAATAAATAAATAAATAAATAAATAAACAAATAAATAAATAAATAGTAAAAAAAAAAAAAAGAGAGAATCCTGTCTACAGAATTTAAGTGATCTAACATTAATGTAATAATTTAATCAGTACAATAAGAAAATTAGAGAAAATTTACCAAAGATTCAGAATTAATTCAGTGATTATGTTGTGATATTTTTTTACAATTAAGCTGAAAGTGCTTAAGGACTTCCAACTTGGATTTTTGAATTTGGTATAAAATTTTTCTAGGATTTTGTTTTGTGTTGTTTTTATGACAAGTTCTCTCTACATAGCTGTGGCTGTCCTCAAACTCACAGAGATCTGACTGCCTCAGTCTCCTGGATGCTAGGATTACAGGCGTGTGCCACCATGCCCGGTAGATTTATTTTTATTTTGTTTTTCTCTTCATATATACATGTACACCATATGCATGCTTGTGCCTGATGCTTATAGAGGCCAGAATTAGGTGTTGGGTCCTCTGACACTGGAACTACAGATGATTGGTGGGTTTCTCTGTGTAGCCCTAGCTGTCCTGGAACTATCTCTGCAGACCAGGCTGGCTTTGAACTCACAGAGATCTGCCTGTCTCTGTCTCCTAAGCGCTGGGATTAAAGGTGTGTGCCATTGTTGCCAGGCTGTAGTACATGCTCCTAATTACTGAATCATCTCTCCACCTACAGCAAAATATTTCGATCTTCTTGAAAACCAAATTCAGTTGTGCCGTTAAGTGAAAACGATTGTGCTTTGTGAGCTGTATTTGTTTTGAATGATATTTTGTTGCTTCACATAATTAAAAATAAATTTTATTTCATTAATATGAATCTACATAATTTAAATATAAAGTTGGTGGCTTCAATTCTGTATTGTCTATCTTCAAACTATCTAAACATTTTGAATGCATAGCTTAGTGTGGGAATGGTAAGAAACTGTTAGCATAGATAGCTGTGAATGCAGGGGCTGCTGTAACAGGGAGACAGTCTCAGCAGAGTGAAGTTTCTGGAAGACTGGAGGACGTGGACACACTCAGCATGACTAACACTATGCTTTGGTTTCCACAGCAAGAAAGATTCCTGCAGGTTTTAAATTAAAATGGAAAAATATGAGAACCTAGGATTGGTTGGAGAAGGGAGTTATGGAATGGTGATGAAGTGTAGGAACAAAGACAGTGGAAGAATTGTGGCCATTAAGAAATTCTTAGAAAGTGACGATGACAAAATGGTTAAGAAAATCGCCATGCGAGAAATCAAGTTGCTAAAGGTAAGTGCATCCATCAAACTGCAAAGATGACTTGCTTCTTGTTCAAGATTGGGCTACATTTGAAGGAAAATATTATTGTGGTTTGTGTGTGTGTATGCTTTTGTGTACACACACGTGTGTGTGTGTTCGGAAGCAGATGGAGATTGCATATATGTATGTGTGTGGATGGGGTTGCACGTATGTATGTGTGAGTGTATGTATGTGTGTGAGTGTATACATGTGTGAATATGTGTGTGTGCATGTGGATGCGATGGGGTACACATGTGTTTGTGAGTGTGTGCATGTGAGCCTGTGTGCAAGTGCGTGGATGGGGTGCACATGCGTGTGTGGGTATACATGTGCACGTGTGTATATATGTGTAGGAGTGTATGTGAGCCTGTGTGCAAGTGCGTGGATGGGAGTGCACGTGTGGATATGGGGGGATGGAGGTGCATGTGGGGGTGAGTGTGGATGGGGTGCACATGTGTGTGTACTTTTGGAGGCCGGAGGACAATCCGGCTGTTACTGCTCAGGTGCTGGCCATCCAGGAAGTTGTGAAGTAGAGTAGACTGGCTGCGCAGAGCCCAGGCTTCACGTCCTCCCCTGCCCAGCACGGGATTCGATACCTGGCCTTTCATGTAGGATCTGGGGGTTGAGCTCAGCCTTGTGCTTGCTGACTAGCTGTCTCCCTAGCCCTGCGTTTTTACATTTGTGTTGTTTAACAAAATTCAAGCTTAGTGCGGACACCTGTCTTCCTAGCGCTAGGAAAGCAGGTGGGTCTCTGCAAGCGGAAGCCAGCAGGTATACATAGCAAGTTCAGGCCAGCCAGGCTACACAGAGAAACCCTCTCTCAAAAATAGCAACAACAACCCCAGAAATTCAATGTTTATTTTTTACAATAAGAAGAAACAAATAATTATCTAGCCCTACTTTACCATCAATATGGTTATCTCAGTGGCATTCAAATACCGTTTAATCTTTTTCTATTAACCTCTGTGCAATCTTGGATGTAAGCGTATACCTTAGAAACACATAGAGGTGGTATTTTGTGCTATCCATCATGGGTTTATGTTTTTACATTATAGTATTATATTAGCATGGTCATATATTTTTGAACTTGTTGAAAGTGAACTCTGAGAATGAGAAGGGCTTCCCCTTGTCCCACTCAAGCATGTTTATTTTGAGTGTCATCTAAAACTCTCTGTTCTAGGTCAGGTTGGCCTCTTGGTTTTATAACAGGAAGTGTATTAAAAACACTGAATCCTGGAGAAGAGCTAGAACATAAACCTTTTCAACACAGGCTGCTGTTGCATCTCCCTTGGTATAAATCCCTGTGGTGGAAACAAGCCAGAAGCTGACCCATAGAGAGAAAGCTGTCTGTCTAGGACTTTGAGTTTCATTACTTCCTTGTCGAAGACCAGCTTCAACACTACAGGGTAAACTGAGGTGGGGTGGAGATCTGGCTGCTGGCTGTTAACCTAGCAGACATTTTCTGAGGGTAATTAATTTCCCAGAACTGATAGTTACCAACCGTGGCTTCCACTGACAGCGGCAAACTGAGGGGCCAGAATTTTCGGAGAAAACAGAATTCTTTGAGTTAATTACATTATGTTGAAAATTTGGTTCCACTGTTCTGCTGTCTCAAATGTTCCCATGAAAAGTCAGCTGTCTCTTTTACTGTGCTTCTAAAAATAAAGACTTAGAGCTAGGTGTGGTAGCGCATGCCTTTAATCCCAGCGCTCTGGAGGCTGAGACAGGTGGATCTTTCTAAGTTTGAGGCCATTCTGATCTACATATTGAGTCCCAGGGTAGCCAGACCTATGTAACAGGAAACAGTCTCAAAAAATAAAAATAAAATAGAATGTGTGCTGTCTGTGTTATAGCCAGGATGGCCATATTTGGATAAGGTTTGTTCCTATATGAAATTGATAAATTGCCTTTTTTTTTTTTTTTTTTTTTTACTTAAATACAACTTAATTAAATATAGTTACTGGATCACATAGTCTAGTGATGTTGTTTTAAAACTGGCAATACTTTGGTGAGTCATTTGTCTTACACTTTTCAAAGAGCATTGTTGAACAGATCTTAGAATAATTCCCACTCCTTTTGTCCCCTCTCCCCTCCCTGTCTTCCTTCTTCTTTCATGCTAGAGATGAACCCAGGGCCTCACTCAGGCTAGGCAAGTTCTCTGTTACTGAGCCCCTTGGCCCCTTGAAAATTTTAAATTTATGATAATGTGGTACTTTTGGAGCATCTATTAGTAAGAGGTTCATTTAGGGGAGCGAACAGGATTTGGCTGGGGTAACAGAAATCCATCATAGTTCCTAATCATTTCTTTATGTCATAGGGCTGAGTATAACACTGAATTCTGTTAGCCTTAATTTCTCTGAATTTTTAATTTCTGAATTTTTTTTTCAAGATGAGGTTTCTCTGTGGGGCCTTGCCTGTCCCGGACTCACTCTGTAGACCAGGCTGGCCTCGAACTCAAGGAAATCTGCCTGCCTTTTTCTCCCCAAGTGCTGGGATTACAGGTGTGAGCCATCACACCTGGCTCTGAAATTTTTTACTTTGTCTTTGTCTGATAGATTCTTTTCAGCATGTGTTTCTATGTAATTGTTACTCAGCCTGCCTTCTCTGCTAGTTTTTGGTCCCGTTCAGTTCTCAGGATGCTTTTTAATATTTCTTTTTCTTACAGGCTGTATTGTGTTTTCTGAGAGGAGAAGGAATAATTTGCTCTTTTGACTGTTGTTTTAGAACTTGATCATACTTTTACATTGTGTACTGTTTATGCTTTTTATTTACATGTATTTCTTAACATTAGCATTTTTTAAATGATAGCTAATTACTCACAACTTGATCTTCTAAAAGTATTTTATATATTTTTTAATAACAGCAACTGAGGCATGAAAATTTGGTGAATCTGTTGGAAGTCTGTAAGAAAAAAAAACGGTGGTATCTGGTCTTTGAATTTGTTGACCACACGATTCTTGATGACTTGAAACTATTTCCAAATGGACTAGAGTATCAAGTAGTTCAAAAATATTTGTTTCAGATTATTAATGGAATTGGATTTTGCCACAGTCACAATGTAAGTATTAGATCTGTTGCTTATTTTCCATGCCTTCACTGTGTAGACACTAGTGACTTAGCTAATGAAATATTTGCTTCACGTTGAATCTGTAACATAAGAAGTGAATTGTATTACTTTGGTATTGCTGATTTTCATGTGTCATATGTATTTCTAAAATAATGTTAGGCCCTAATGAAAGGTTAAAAGGCACACAGTAGACACCCTTTTCTCCTAGCTATGTTATGCATTTAAGAGTTTGCTGTAGTTGCTTAATAATCGTGTATAATCTGCGCACTGTTTTATAATCTGTGTTTACCTGTTAGTTTATTAATCTCTAATCCTTCTATATTTTAGAGTAGGTTGCAGACAGCAGTACGCTTTTTCTACACCTGTTGATTGTGTGTGCACATGTCAGAGTGTAACTTGCAGGGGTCAGCTCTCTCCACCATTAAATCCCAGGCATCAGACTTAGGTTGTTATGCTTGGTGGCAAGTCCCACCCACTGAACTATCTCTTCAGGCCCCTAATCCTCAATGCTAAAACAGGAAATTCTTCACTAATGAACTATACTTAAATATTTGTTCATTGATGATTTTTTAATATAACATTTGCTGGGTGGAACAGGCAAATTTGTAGTGATGGGTTGTGGCAAATGTGTATACCAAGGAACCCAATAAATTAATTTTTCTTTAACATATTTTATACTCTGTGGGTTTATTTTTGTCTTAGATCATACACAGAGATATAAAGCCCGAGAATATATTAGTCTCTCAGTCTGGCGTTGTAAAATTATGTGACTTTGGATTTGCACGGACATTGGCAGCTCCTGGGGAGGTTTACACTGACTATGTGGCCACTCGATGGTACCGCGCTCCAGAACTGCTGGTCGGTGATGTCAAGTACGGCAAGTAAGAGACAGGGAGCGGACGTGTTTGTAATAAATGACAGGGAGGGATGTGTTTGTAACGAATGGTCACTGAACACTGAAAGGAAGGCCTGGGTCCTTTGTTTACTGAGTGGTTTAGAACATTGCCTAGCGCTTTCTCCTTGAAAACTTTTTGAGTTGCTGTGCGGGTGGGGTGTGGCTTGGTGGCAGAGTTTCTGCCTGCTACAGTGAGATCCTGATGTTTTTTTCCTCAGGGCGTCAGAACAACAACAACAACAAAGCTTGTGATTGTGGTACAACTTGAAGTAGATATACTTATTTTAAAGGGAAAGCTGAGTATTTTCAATGGTCAGAAAAAAAATTCTATTTGTGAGTGTCTAGAGAGTTGGCCCAGAGGTTAAGAGAGGACACTGCTCTTGCAGAGGGCCTGAGTTTGGTTCTCAGCCCCCACTTTGGGCAGCTAACAACTGTCTGTAACCCCAGCTCCAAGCGGTCTGATGCCTCCTTGGGCACCTGCAGTTACACACACATACACACAGGCACCCACACATAGTTTAACTTAAAGTTAAAATGTTCATCTCTAAGAGAAGTTGGTATCAATAGAGAAGTCTTATGTTATGACATGGGTAGAGCAAGCAACAATGAGGGTAAGAATGTTATTTCAAGATCTTTAAATATAAGTTGTCTTTACAGTGAATTCTTCAAAGAGGGAACACTATACATTTTACTTTTGACATAAATTTTCCTAAAATATTTTCTGTAATTTTTGAGTAATTAAACATCTACTAATTTTTTTTTTTTACTATTCTGACTTCTCATTTTTTAGTTCATTACTATAGTTTTTGTAGGCTTTTACAATTCAGCCATGACTCTGGCAACTTCAAGGTTGCTGGCTATCTCCTAACATATTTTCTTTTAGTCCCAACTGACTGTTAAGATAGGTTTAAGTTTTCTCTCTCTGTTAGCGTTCAGTGCTTGTTGCTACTCTATCAGTGACCGTTCCTTTTTTCTAGGGTGCTTTTTTTTTTCTTATATCTACCAAGACTACACTGTAACCTGTTAGACTGATGTGGAAATGGAGGGTAAGGAGGCACTCGCTCAGTCGTGGCTAGAGAGTCTTCTTTTCAGAGTAGTATGCATAATCAGTATGGCTTTTCACAACCTTAAGTTTCTGGGAGTCTTACAGAGAAATAACTTTAAGTGACAAGATTTACTACTGTGCCAACAGTATTAACCTGGTGACATGCCAAGAAGATGCAGGCATGGGAAAGGTATCAGGATGCCATGTCTTACATCATATTACTTTTTTTCTAGGGCTGTTGATATCTGGGCTATTGGTTGTCTGGTCATTGAAATGCTCATGGGGCAACCCTTATTTCCAGGAGAATCTGATATTGATCAGCTTCATCATATTATGACATGTTTAGGTAAGATTATACATCTGTGTTTTAAATCTTACAGTTCTTTTTCTGTGTACATTTCTAGTGTTTTTTTAAGCTGTCCATATATTAAAGATGATATTTTAGATAAGTAGGGAGCAAATAGAAAATACATACACATGCATACACATGCACACACATAATCACACACATACATGTATACACATTTGCACACACACATACATATTCTGAGCCTCTAGCAAGGCTGATCAATGTAAGAGAAAAAGTGATGGTTGAGGAAGACAAGTAGAATTGTGAATCTAGTAGGCAGAAAAACATAAAAACTATATTAACAAGACTGTTTCAGCATACAGTCAGCTACCTTGAAGTTGCTCAAAGCCACCGCTGATTTTAAAATGCTGCAAAAATTATTATAACAAGGCAGTGTAGTGAGAACTCAGAGTAACTCAGAAAATACTAATATCCCTGAGCCTGCTTCTGAGTCACCTCCAGCCTCCTCAAGAGAGATGTCATCATCACTTCTTACCCTTGAGTCAGTGAGATCCAGCTATCCTCTTCATCCTCATCTTCATCTCCAGAATAAGATGAGAGACACAAAGACAAGAGAGCTTAATGTGGTCTTGCATTTGAATCTTCATTTTTTCTTCTGTTCTCTGAGACATGGGTCTCATTGTCTAGCCCAGGGTTGCCTCCAACTTTCCATCCTCCTGCCTAAGCTTCTAAGTCTTTACTGTCTCAGCCTCCCAAAGGCTATGACCACAGATGTGCACCCCCATGCCTGCAGATACAGCTGTGCACCCCATGCCTGCGGATACAGCTGTGCACCCCATGCCTGCGGATACAGCTGTGCACCCCATGCCTGCGGATACAGCTGTGTACCACTGTTCCTCAGATTTTTTTCTTAGTGCTTTGGATGAAATTCCAAAGCTAGACTCTGAGCCTTACATTTATTGGAATAAAAAATTCATATTCTGAGATAGATTTTGAAATGGAAATAGTAGGAAGACTCTTGGTGATTTAATTATTTGACTTTAAGTTTTGAGATTAACAATTTGTTAAGTATTATATGATTTCTTACAAAAAGAATTTTTATATGACTGTTTACCACAGGGCGGAGGGAGAAAGAACAGAGGGGTTGCATCTGTACTTAATGTATATATTATTCTTTTCACTATTTCCTCAGTGTTGTACTTACATAGTATCTATAGTTTATTAGTATATCAAAGTTTATAAAATTTAACTTTTTCTTTATATAGCTTATGATATAATAGGTATTAAAGTTGAGAAGAAGGTTAAAATGCTCAAGTCTGAATTTAGATGTAGGTACACAAGCTGTTGAATAAAAATTAAATTCCTAAGAGAGGAACTGACTTACCTAACTTAGATTCTGTCCATGTGACTGTGTCTTCGATGTTTGGGGCAGCATGGTGCGGTTTACGTTAGAAGTAGTGGTGCTTCAGCTAGAGACATAGTTTCTCCCTATCATGTCTTCACACTTATTTCAGCTTGTGGTTGTATTTGCATTTTTAGATGAATATGTTACAAAAGCCGTGTGCATTTTCTTAAGCTGTCTTGTATTAAGACCACTACAAAGACTTTCAAGTGCTGTGGTATTAACAAGTCTGTCTTAGGTTGATCTTATGCTGAGAGAGACCCACTCTCCTGAGCTATTCCACTCTTTCCTCTGCATCCCCTGACTCTTCACCATTTCTGTCATCTATACTGACAAAGATGTATGCTTCTCCCCCCTGTCCCCAGGTAATTTAATTCCAAGACACCAGGAGCTATTTTATAAAAATCCTGTGTTTGCTGGAGTAAGATTGCCTGAGATCAAAGATACAGAAACAGAACCCCTTGAGAGCCGCTACCCTAAGCTCCCTGAAGTTGTGATAAATTTAGCAAAGGTAATGACACTTTTCCTTCTTCTTTGTGACAGGAAATTTGTATAGTGTGTAGGAGACTTGGTTCATGTATGTCCTTCTCTCTGCCTCTCTTTGTCTCTTTCTGCCTTCCTTCTCCATCCCCTCCTTGACCTTAGGTCAAGAATTTCCTCAGATGATTTTAAAATTTGTGTGCCAAGGAAAGGTTTAAATACTGTTAGGTTGTCGGAGGAACTTCAGAAGTAAAGAAAGCCTGAAATTTCTTTCTTTTACTTTTGAGAGTATAATATATTTACATCATTTCTCTCTTCCCTTTCCTCCCTCCAAATTCTCCTTGCTCTCTTTCAAATTCATGGCATTTTTTTTCACTAATTGCTATTATATGCACATAAGTATATACATGTATTTTGAAATATAACCTGCTTAGTCTCTATAATGTTACTCATGTGTTTTCAGGGCTGATATTTGGTATTGATAACCATTGGGTGTGCTCTTCTTTGGGGGAGACTATTCCTCTGGCTCTTAGCATTCCTTATAGTTGCTTATAGTTCTTTGAGTAGGGTCAAGGCCTGGGAGAGCCTGAAATTTTTTTAAATAATTTTATTTTATTTACATACTTACATTGGTGTTCTGCCTCCATGTATATCGGTGTGAGGATGTGAGATCCCCTGGAAATGAAATTACAGACAGTTGTGAACTGCCATGTGGGTGCTAGGGTTTGAACCCAGGGGTTCAAATCTTCCTTTGGAAGAGCACCCAGTTCTCTTAACCGCTGAGCTATCTCTCCAGCCCCTGAAATTTTATCTGTCTTAAAATTCCATAGAATATTTCTAACATGTTTTGTTTGAAAATATTCTCATTTAAAAACATAATAACTTTTAAATGGAAATAAAAGCTGAAACAAGAGAAATAAATGTAAAGAATTAGGAAAATATTAAAGTGTAGGGCATAGATTCATAGGCTATTATCAAGACATTTTATTTAAACATAGGCTATTATCAAGACATTTTTGCTTAGACAGGGTGCTATTATCGAGACAGTTTTGCTTAAACATCAGATTTCTTGAGGCTAATTTACAAATTACTGTTGCTTTTATTTGTATTTAATTGAGGATGCCATTACATTGTCTCTGATAGCTGATCCTTTAATATTATTAGTTAAGAAAGTTATTGTTCAGAATACTGTAAAATAGTATCCCTAAAACATCAGGATTGTGTAAACCATTTACTTGGTGTCTTTGCTTTCTTTAGCTCATTAAAAAAAAAAAATTAGGTAGGGGCTAGAAAGATGGCTATCACCAAAGTGTGTGCCATGTATGTAAAGGGGCCTGAGCTTATATACCTAGTATAAAAGCCAGGAGTGACAGTTAATGCTGTCAAACTTGAAAAAAATCTGAAATCCTCTGGAGAAGGGCCTCTTAGCATGTCTGTGGCAGGACTGTGTTAGTTGAGGTAAAAATACCTGTTCACTGTGTCACAATTCGCTATGCAGGGATCCTAGACTGCAAGAGTAGAAAAGGCAAGCTCAACACTAGCAAGCACGATTCATTGCTCTTGTCTTCCGACTGAGCATGTGGTGGGCTGCTTCAAGCTTCTGCTGTCTTGACTTCCTAATCATGATGGACTGTGTCTTGAATTATGACCTAAAATAAACCCCCTTTACCTCAAGCTGACTTTTCCCCACTACCTTTTTTTTTTTTTTTAATACCTTCTACTTTTGGAGTATCTTGAAGCAAATCCTAGACATTATATTTTTATACTTACGTAGTAAAAGTTCAGAATCAACCGTAGAACTTAGCTTGTTCACTTGAAAGTGTTAAGACTTCTTTCCGTTTTTACTTGTGCTGGGGGATTTCAGGGGATCAAAGCAACACCTTGTTTAATGAAGTCACCTGTGTGAGGCACCCAGCATAGTGGTGATCACAGAGAGGGCTCTTCTGCTCTTCTGTGACAGCTGTATGTTTTTTAGGAGTTCATAGAAGTATGTGTGTGTCCTTGTTGCTGTTGAGATAGGATCACACTGTTTTTCAGGCTGGCCTCCAACTTGCGTCACTGTTCCTACCTCTAGCTACTGAGGACTGGGCTCACAGGTATGCACCACCACATCTAGACTGTTATTTGTTATCTAAATTAATTTTAATTAGCACCTAATAATTTCTTACGGTCATAAAATATATAATCAGTTGCTAAAATTCCCTTCTTTCCTTTTTTTCTTCCCTTCTTCTCTCTCTTCCCTCCCTCCGTCCCTCCCTCCCTCCCTCTATAACCCTGGCTGTCCTGGAACTCATTCTGGAGTCCAGGCTGGCTTCATGCTCAGAGATCTGCCTGCCTCTGCCTCCCTAGTGTACCATCCCCTGGCTATTTTGTATTTTTCAAGTACAAATCTCATACCTTTTTAGAAAATTCTGTTCCAAGTATTTTATTTATTCTTACTATTAGAATTATTTAAATGAAATTGTTTTCTTATTTCCTAATCATAAACTTTGCATTTTTTTAATTAATCACAAAATTTATATTCTTTGACTACTCACTTTGCTTACCAGCTTAGTTTTTGTTTGTCTCTTTTTTTTTTTTTTTTTTTTTTTTTTTTTTTTTTTTTTTTTTTTTTTTGTTTGGTTTGGTTTTGGTTTTGATTTTTCAAGACAGGGTTTCTCTGGGTAGCCTTGACTGTCCTGGAACTCACTCTGTAGACAAGGCTACCTTCAAACTCACAGAGATCTGCCTGTTTCTGTATCCCAAGTGCTGGAATTAAAAGCATGTGTCACTACCACCAGGCTCCTGCAATTTCTTAAAAAAATAATTTTTAGAATTTTATTTTGTGTTCATGGTTTATTTTCTGCATGTATATCTGTGTATCATGTATGTACAGCACCCATGAAAGCCATAAGAGAACATTGGATTTCCTGGTACTGGAGTTACAGATGGTTGTGAACTGCCATGTGGGTGTTGGGAATAGAACCTTGGTGCTCTGGAAGAAAAGTTCTCTTAAACACTGAACTATCTCTACAGCCTCACTCTTCCCTTCCTCCTTCCTTAATTCCTTTCTTCTTCTTTTCTGTTTCTTTTTTTCAAGACAAGGTCTTAATATATAGCTTTAGCTATCCTGTAACTCACTACATAAACCAGGCTGACCTCAAGTTCACAGAGAACCTCCTGCCTCTTTCCCAAGTGTTTAATTAATGGTGATTGCTGAACTATAGGCATGAACCACCATGTCCTGCTGTAATTTCTTTGGTAATTTAAATTAGGATATATAAAGAAAATCTATAGATGACCCAGCAGTTAAAGGTGCTTGCTACTAATCTTGATGACCTGAGTTCAATCCCTGGGAGCCATGTGATGGAGAAAACCAACTCCTGCAGTTGTCCTCTTACCTCCATGTGCGCACTATGCTGTGTGCGCATGCACACTAGACATATACCCACATACACCTACATACAGAGATATACAATAAATGTAATTTTTAAAAATTAAGAAAGGAATATCTAGGTTGCTGTTGGTTGATGTTATTTTTGTTTGTTTTGTTTTATGTTTTTGTTTTTTTGAGACAGGGTCTTGTTATATTGCCCAGGATGGCCTTGAGCCTATAATCCCTTTCCTCAGTCTCCCAAGGGCTCTACCATCACAGCTGGCAGTTGCTCTTTTAAGACCTAATCTCTGTATTTACTTAATCACTTCTGTTTAAACCCTGCGCTGTGTTAGAGCAGCCAGGTTGTGCTGTATAACCTCCTACTAGTGTGGTCTAATTTGTTCTACTGCCTTGATTTTGTATAGACAGGCAGTAGAGTTACAGACTAGAATCACATTTTTTTTCCTGGAAGCTGGGTGTGGTGGTGCATGCCTTTAATCCCAGCACTCAGAAGGCAGAGGTATATGGATCTCTGATAGATGGAGGCCATCCTGGTCTACAGAGTGAGTTCTAGGACACCAAGGACTACACAAAAAACCTGTCTCGAAAACCCAAAATAATAATGATAATAATAATAACAATAATAATTTTTTTTCTTGGAAAGACTGCTTCTTAGGAATTAGTGCATTTATTTACATCTATAGACACTGAATGCCTGCTGGGCCTCTTTTTGTGACATAAAAACACTGTCATGATTTGAGATTTATTCTGTTCATTGGTTATAAAGAAGAAATCTAAATGTAGACAGTGTTCTTTAAGAAGACTTGTATGTGTTCTTGATTTTTCAGAAATGTTTGCATGTTGACCCAGACAAAAGGCCCTTCTGTGCTGACCTTCTACACCATGATTTCTTTCAACTGGATGGATTTGCTGAGAGGTACCGTGCTGGCCTGTGCTCTGCAGGCTGTAGGGACCAGGGTCAAAGGGAAGGCTCCCACAGCCACAGTCTTATGTGGTATCACTACCTATGCAGGACGAACCCTGCCCCATTCACTGTTGTCAGTAACATAATCCCCGGGAGTGACTGCCTACATTTATTAAACTGGAGCTGCTGGAGTTGATGAAGCAGACTCCTTTCTGTTTTCCTTGGTGAAATCTATCATTCAGGTCACACTAATTCCTATGTTGCTGCAACTGTGCAGTTGCCATCTCCTGTTGCTGCCAACTCATGCTGCACCAGGTCCAGTTGTCCTGCTGAGTCCTTTATGTGCCAGTCTGACAGACGCTAGTGCTGCCACAGCGGCTCCCAGTGCTGCTCCAGGGTTAGCATTAGCACTGACCAAGCAAGAGACAGCGAGATGGGTGGCTGTGGCTACCTACCTGTATGTAGCATAGGTAAATATATTTATGTATGTGCATGCAAATGCATCTGAATTTGTGTATGTGTGCACAAATGAAGGCACTCTTGGGGGTCAGAAGGGGGCAGAAGATCCCTGGAGCTGGAGTTGCAGGCAATTGTCAGTGTCTGGCATGGGTGCTGGGAATCAAACTCAGGTCCTCTGCAAGAGGAGTATGTGTTCCTTTAACTGTTAGGCTGTCTTTCCTGTCCTAAAGCTTTATTAATTTGCAAATCTCTTAAAAAAATCTAGCTTAATGCAAGATAGCTGGAGTTTTACATTTCCTTTTATATTAATTTGTTAACATTGTAGTATGTTATTTTCATTGGAAGAAGCAAAGGTATATATAGAAAAGTGGAAGAGTATTTTTAATAGTCTTTTGAGGTTATTTAGTATTCTTTGATTATGTCAGATTTTGATATTATATCAAAACCTGGCCTGACAGTGGTAATTTCTTTCTTCTTTCTTTCTTTTTCTCCTTGTTTCTCCTTCTTTTTTCTCTTCTTTTTTTATTATTTGAGGCCAGGTCTTGCATTATACTTGTAGCTGATCTGAAACTCACTAGGTAGCCTGGGCCTAGGATTCTCCTACCATGGCCTCCTGAGTACAGATGTATGACAGTGTACCCAGATGTAGTAGTTCTTTTGTTTAAAAATCTGTTTTATTTTTATTTGTATTGTATGTGTGTCTTTCTGTCTTTGTCATATGTGTATGCTCATAGAGGCCAGAAGATTGTGTTAGATGCCATGGAGCAGAAGTTACAGGCAGTTGTTAGCTGGCTGATGTGGGTGCTGGGAATCTAATATGGGCCCTCTGAAAAAGCAGCAAGTATTCTTAACTCTTTTTAAAAATAATTTATTTAATTTTCATTTTATGTGCATTAGTGTAAAGGTGTCAGATCCCTTGGAATTTGTGTTGCAGACATTGTGAGCTGCTATGTGGGTGCTGGGAATTGAACCTGGGTCCTTTGAAAGAGCAGACAGTGCTCTTAACCACTGAGCCATCTCTCCAGCCCCTATTAACTCTTGAGCCCAGGCTCCAGTCCACTGTAATAGTTTCTAAAAGACTGGGTTGCATTGTGAAATTTAAACGAGCTTTTCTTTCTCTGTTGCATTAAAATCCATTTTTGTCTGGTCTTCTGAACTGATGTTTTATCCCTGCATGCTTTTATAACATACTTTTATCATTTGAAGCATATTGGCAATTTAAAATTATGTAGCCTTAAAATGTTGGTATGTTTTCTTATATAATATCAAATATTATACCCTGATTTCTCAGAAAGCGTTTTTCCAATTATTTACCTATCTATTTATTTATTTATTTATCTATTTATCTATCTATCTATTTATTTATTTATTTATTAAATCACTTTACAGCCTGATCCCAGCCCCCTCCTGCCTCTCCTTCTACTCTCACCCTCACACTTGCTCCTGTTCCCCCTTCTCCTTCTTTTGAACTATTGGGAGACCTCTAAGACTCCAGGTTAATAGAACTGTGATTTTTACATGAAGATTTGAGTTTGATAGTTTACAGAAATATTGTAAGTTGATTTCCTTGCTATGAATTGTTCACCTTGTTCTTCAAAGCAAAATGTCTGCTACACACCCATCTGGATAAGCGTGGCTTTTCTGTTAGTCATTCACGAGTAAATATTTTATGAAAAACATGTATGGCTTGTCTTGAGCTTGGGCAGCCATTCAGTGCTTGTCTTAAGACAACCACTACAGCCTACAGGCACCTCTCTCCTCACATAAGCCGAAGAGAGATGTTTTTAAGGATTCACTGAGCTTTAGTGAAATCAGCCTTTTTTACTGCTTCACTGTGAGCAACCTTAAGTGACATCCTTATACACACACATGCACACACACACACACACACACACACACTCATGCACACACAGCATGAATGTGTGCCTGTGAGGAGCACAATGACTGCCAGCATGCTTTGGCGCAGGTGTTTCAGTTCTTGGTAAGATGCCACCAGCCTTCTCCAGCATTGTTTCTGTCACCAGGACCAATGTTTACAGGGTGGTGCAGACATTTTCAGTCTAGGACTCCTGGAAGGCGTGCTCACACCTGACAGCCTACAGCCTTTAGGAGCTGTTTATCTGGGGTGTGATTTTATCATTTTAAATGAAATGCGTTAGTTTAACACTGAGTTTTGAATGATTATCTTGAGTTTTTTTTCTTATAAAGTTTTATTTTAATTGAGAATGTGCTTTTGTGTAGGTTTTCTCAAGAATTGCAGTTAAAAATAGAGAAAGATGCCAGGAATAATTCTTTACCTAAAAAATCTCAAAACCGAAAGAAAGAAAAGGAGGATACCTTAGTTGAAGAAAGAAAAACACTTGTGGTACAGGTAAATGTTTATGCATCAAAGTTTAAATTTGTGTTGCTGAGTGCGGTGGCACATACCTATAATCCCAGTACTCAGGGAGGCAGAGGCAGGTGGATTGCTGTGAGTTCGAGGTCATCCTGGTCTACAAAATAAGTCCAGAACAACCAAGACTACACAGAGAAACTGTGTCTTAGAAACTAAACAAAACGGTTTAAATTTGTGGAGGAAAATAGTGAGAATTTAATTTTTTTTAATTAGATTTATTCATTTTATTTGGTGTGAGTATTTAACCTGTGTGTATGTGAAGCACACGCAGGCTTAAGACCTGCAAAGGTCAGAAGAGGGCATTAGATCCTGTAGAATTGGAATTTCAGATAGTTTGTGAACCACCGTATAGGTGCTGGGAATCAAACCCTAGTCCTCTGTAAGAGCAACAAGTATTCTTAACCACTGAGCAGTCTCTCTAGCTCATTAATGAACATTTTAAAGTTTAAATTACTGAGTAAATTGTTAACTTTCTTTTTTTTTAATCTTTATTTATTTATTTTATATATGATTGCTCTGTTTACATGTATACCTGCACACCAGAAGAGGGCATCGGACCACATTATAGGTAGTTGTGAGCCTCTAGAAGAGACACTGCTCTTAACTGCTAAGCCATCTCTCTAGCCCCAAACTGTTAACTTTCCACCTGGCTGCAAAAAAAAAAAAAAAAAAAAAAAAAAAAAAAAAAAACCCAAGTAAACAAAAGATAGTGTCTTTCCTGCAGACACTACCTTAAAATAAATTAAAAAAAAAAAACTATTTTAAATGCTCAACAAGTACTAGAAAGTGCAGTAGAGTTGCACAGAAGATCAACTTAACATAAAATAATGAATGAAGGCTATAAGGAAATGGTGTATACTGGTCCAAGGATGGGTAACCATGCCCTGGGAATTTGGATTTGAGTTACCCTGAGTGGCATATTTTGCTGTGAGAAAGTGGTAGCCACGGGACGAAGAAGGTCATAAGTCAAAGCATTCACTGAACACACTGGTAGGTGTTAGATAGGTGGGCTTCAGCAGAGCAGGAAGTCTTTTCTGTGTTTCAGGTGTTACTTTACAGCCTTTAACTTGGATTGGTAGAGGCTGGAGTTCACTCTGCTTAGCAGTAAAGTCTCAGCTCACCTAATAGTCTTGAGGAAGCTGAGTCACACACAGAGTTTAAGTGGCTATTAAAAACTAAGAGAACCCACAATGATTTTGGTGCTAGACCTATATCCACCTCCCCACAGTAACAGTTGCCCACCCAAAGTCAGTCTGTAAAATCTTTAGTAGAGATGCAGCTTCAAGGAGAATTTCAGATCCATACACTCATCTAAGAATACTGAACATCTACACACACACACACACGCGCACACACACACACACACACACACACACAGGGTAGCAAACACATGCATGTTGAGCACACTCAGGGACAAACACCCAATTTAGTCTATTTTCCTTTCTTAATAGTAGAAAATGAAGGTATTACTTTTAGAACCTATCAATCATCTGTCCTCTTCATCTGTCTGTGTATCCATCATCTATGAAGTTGGTATGCATCACATTCTTCTCTTATTTTCACAATAACTACTTGAATAAGAATCTTTATTTAATTATAATTTCACAGGTAGAATAAATATGTGAAGTTTCTTGTCAGATCATTAACTTTTAACATCTTTATCAATGGTCAGGATACCAATGCTGATCCCAAAATTAAGGATTCTAAAGTGTTTAAAATGAAAGGGTCAAAAATTGATGGTGAGAAAGCTGAAAAAGGAAAACCTTCAAATACCAGCTGTCTCCATGACAACGGGGCAAACCACATCAAAGGCTTGGCTTCCACAAGCCTCAGAGATTGCAGCAATGTCAACGTTGATCACTCAAGGAACGCAGGCATGGCAATTCCTCCACTCACACACAACCTTTCTGCAGTTACTCCTGGCATTAATGCTGGGATGGGGACTATTCCTGGAGTTCAGAGTTACAGGTACGAATGGGAAACAGACAGAAAATGCTTGTTAATTTGTTCACGTTGTTCACTGTCCAAAATCTGGATGTAATTTCTACTTATAAAGTAGTTCTTTAAATATGTTTTGACCTTTGTGATGAGAATTATAAGAATTTGCTAAAAGAAACAAACAAACAAAAACAAAAGAATTTACCTGAGTCCCAAGAAAATAGAATTTTTACCATTGTTTACATAAAGAGAAGGTATAGCTGTTTAGTTTAATAAACAGCTGTCATTAATAAAAGGAATAAGTTTCATGGACCGGTGGTGAGCATTTAGCAGCACGCAGAAGCTCCTTTGGGCGTTTTCCTGAAAGGGGCAGCTGTTGGAAGCCCAAGTGGCATGATAAATGGTAGAATGTTGCATCAGATTTCTGTACTTTGTCTACGTGTGAGATACGCATTCAGTTCTCATTAAACTGAACATCATTTAGCATGCTGTCATTGATTTTGTGTTTGAAAATAATTGTTAATGATTCTAACTTAAAAAAATTTGTTACAGAGTGGATGAGAAAACTAAGAAATACTGTAATCCATTTGTTAAACCAAATCAACCTTCTGCATCAGGGATTTATAACGTGAATGTGAGCACATCTGTAAGTAGCTCTTCTCTGTAGCAAAAGAGCAGGCTCTCATCACCTAGCCCTATGCTGTCTCAAGCAGGAGAGTGGAGAATTAAGAGTTTTCTTTGGAGACATAGAGTAAAACCTGACTTATGTAATACCATTCTACTTACCATAGTCGTAATTCTGAATATTTTAATAAATTTTCTAATCTGAATGAAAGATTCTCTTACGATGCCATCTCATTTATTTTCAGCAACATAATAATAAATTTTCTTAACCTAATTCTTGCAGTTGAGTTCTTTTTAAAGAGTAAATGAGAAGATTCACTGTCTTATTATCTTACCAGATTTTTTGTGAAAATATTTATATAATCACTCAAGAAACATTCATGGTCGCTCTCTTGTATATAAGTTATGGAATTAATTCAGTCTTTGTGGAGTTTATGGTTTAGTAGATCAGCAAGGTAAAACAACAATGGTAGATTTTAATATGAGAGGCATGTATGAGGTTCAGAGAGAACATGGGAAGGAGCATTGTTGCTCTCAGCATCACCTCCAGAACCCTGGTCTAATTCCATGCTAAGTAGTCACCTTTTATTCTGATTAAAACTCTCGGTTGGCCTTTGTTCTCTGTGTAAGGGCTAGAGTCCTGACAGGTATTAAGTCCCTATGTGACTTAAATCCCCACCCCTGTGTTCCATCTGTTTTCCTCAATCTGTTCCAGCTGTAGATTTCCTCCTTTCTTTGATACGATGGTCAGAGACACCCTGACTTTGGGCTCTTACACTACTGTCTGTCCCACTTAGAACATTCTTCCTTTAGATAATCCAGCAAATGCTTTTGTCCATAAGAAACCTTGAGATCTTCCTTAGTATTGAGCTTATTTTAATATTGAATCTCATTCTCCATCACTGTCTAAACCCTCTCCTTAACTAGTTTTCTTCTAGTATATACACCTGCTACCCTCTGTGTGCGATATATAGTCTATATCTTTGCAGTGGAAAGGAAGGTTCCAGCTCAGTAGTTTGTCCTTTGTTTTCCTCAATGAGCCATTCCATCATTACAGTAATGTTTATTTAGCCCATTAGAGCTGCTTAAGAGGGTCCAGGGTATAACAAGATTATACTGGGACAGTAAACTTAGGGGTGGAACAATGTATATAAAGCCCAGCTGGTCACAGTTACAATAGAGAACAGCAGCTGTTTGTTGAAAAGCCCAGGTGGTGGTGGTATAAGGTTGACCCCACTAGCTTGAAGAACCAGGATGTCATGCCATCTTATCCTGCCTATTGCTTGCTGGGATTCCCACTGAAGACTGGCAGAGGGGAGAAAAGAAAACAATCAGATTTTCTACTTACTAGCAAATTTGACAAATTTGGTTAATTAACTGGTTTTCTGTGTGAGTAATGTCCTTAGAGTTTATTATTCCAGTCCTTGAAATCACACATTTGAGTATATGAACACAGTAGTTATAACAGAATGAAAGCCTAGCTCACCTTAAAGCTAATTTGTGTTAATCATTCTGATAATTAGGTCTCTAATGAAAAGTACCTCCTTCAGGCTAATAAGAAAAGGAAGGAATATTCCAAAGTAGATGTGCGATTGCCTGAACTAAACTACAACCATCTCCCTGAGCTGAGAGCTTTAGAAGGCATAGGTATGTTTATGCATTTTTATTCTTTTCATCCCTTTTGCTTATATTGCTAAATTGTAAGTTAAATAAACTGACAATGTTAAGAAATGTATAGTAATTTACGTACTTACGTAGGCTAATGCATTTGCTCATATATAATAAGTACTTACAAATGTGGAAAACTAACACTATTTTTTTCATTATGTTTTTGATTATTTTTATCTAGCTCGAAATTCTAGGCTAATAAAGAAAGAGAACAAATCTCTTTCAGAATCTCGAATTCCCTCTCTGGCTGCTATTGACCTGCATGCATCCAATCTGGCATTACACCAGGTACAGAACTGTTCTTCGTAGATGCAGCTCGGGTCTCTCCCAAACTTAATGTGCTTTATGGGAAATATGCTCTCCGGAATTTGGTAGGTTTCACATGGGATTTATTTTGTTTATAAGTTCATCGTGCATAGAACTTTATCACACACACTTATTGCAACACTTCTGAACTGAAATAATCCATTCTTTAGTTTTAGTTTTTGAAATTGGGCCTTTAATCTTTAAAATTTTTTTATAGACTTTATAATACAAACTTGGAAGCTGGCCATAGTGGTGCATACCTTTAATCCCAGCACTTGGGAGGCAGAGGCAGGTGGATCTCTGTGAGTCTGAGGCTAGCCTAGTTTACAGAGCAAGTCCAGGATAGCCAAGGCTAAACAGAGAAACCCTGTCTTAAAAAACACCAAAACAGGGGGACTGGAGAGATGGCTCAGAGGTTGAGAGTACTGGCTACTCTTCCCGAGGGTCCTGAGTTCAATTCCCAGCACCCATATGGTGGCTCACAACCATCTAGAATGAGATCTGTCTCAAAACAAACAAACAAAATATGTATAAGCATATGAGTAGGGTCCTCTAACATCCTTTTTCACAAAAGCAGCCTCAGCTACAAATAGTTACTCCTCAGCATGTGAGTCTGAGTAGACCCAATCAGAACTATTGGAAGTGGGAGTTTTGCAATTACTGCACACCTGTAATGCCTGCTGATTTCTTTATAGGGATCAGGATCACCCATGTCAGATGACTCTGAGGGCGATTTGCCTCGGATGGAACACCAGCACTGAGACTCATTTTAGTCCTGAATGGGGTAGGTCTGATTCCTCATGCTTACAGCTGTGTAACTCGATTCCATGAGAACCGCTGTTGAAGAAGAGATATACCGCTTAGAAAAGCAGGGGGACCATCGTCCGTGGGATGAACTCACTCTCCACAGGGCTAACTGCATTTTATTGGATAAGGCGATATGAATGTAGAAGGACAAGTCCTCCAGGAGAATGCGTGTCTGTCTCCAGCATCAGGCTTTCCCCGTGGACTTGTAAAGCAAGAGCCATTCAGTGATTACCTGGAAATGTCTGTCCAGTAAAGCAGGATCTGCACTACACTAACAATAGCCTTGCCTTTGTGAGAGCTCAGACATCTTTTAATAGTAATCTGCTTTGCAGCACTAAGCGCAGCATTTATTATTTGATATTTCATTATCGAAATATGATGGCAATAAAATACCATGTGCCTGTAACTGTGTCACTGGAATTCATTTATTAACCTCAACAGAGTATTTTGAACAGCTATGACATCAAAGCTAAATTTACTTTCAAGTGAAGGAAGCTTAAATTGTAAGCCTTTATTTGCACAAGCCCTTCCAAGGCCCCAGGAAAGGTCTCTATGATGTAGTCATTGAGTTAGGTCATGCAACTTAGGAACACTCAGCTCACATGAACTGTACAGGTTGTAGATCCTATAAAATTTATATTTGTTTTGATCAAAATCAGTTATAATTTGCATAAAATGACAGTATGCTACACACAATTGTTTCAATTGGCTATTATCGTAAAGATTAAAACCTCGAAGTTTCTTAGACTACAAAACACCCACAAGTATTACCAACATATTCAGTGTGAGAAAGTAAGCGACTTAAAAGTCAGCTCCCAGAAAGAGTCTGGTAAAACTTGGTGTGTACCCTGCTTTCAGATGCTGCCAGCACTCGAGATGATGTCCTCTTGCACCCAGAGCCCAGATGCCCTAGAAGAGACATGTGGTTTCACTGTTTCCTTCTGGACTATCTGCATTTCCTAAGACAGGCTTTGCAGAAGAAGGCAAGACAGACTTCCAAATACTTCAAAGGAAGGTTGAAGAAGTGGCCCCCTGCTGTTATCCCTTCACCTTTCCAACCTGTTGATACTATTTGACATATATCCATGGAAGAATAGTGATATGGTTCTTGTTACATGAATGTGTATTTGATATTAGTAGATTGTGTATTTAAACTTATCAGAAATTAAAAGTTTAAACAGGAGAGAATCATTATAAAAGGTCATGTTTTATGCATTGAACTTTGTGCATTATCTACATAAATATTTATACTTGAAAAAAATGAAAAAAGCTAGGATGTGTAAGAGAAAAGTTTCTTTTACCTTAACATTTAAAAGCTTGCTTTCTAGGCAGTGAGGTGGTGTGCGATTGCTGTCTGTGGTTAGTGGTGTCTTGTTTTCTGTCATAATTGTTGACAATCTGGTCTCTACTAATCTAAGAACTGTGCTGTGCCAATCCGGCAGAGAATCCTTCTGTTACTAATGCCCTGGTGTTGGATACTCTTCTTTGTTGAGAGACTCCATGTTCTGCCTGAGAGGACAGGATTGAGTGGTGTGGAGGAGAGTTTTGCAGATACTCTTTTGAGTTAGGAACTGAGCTTCTCCCTGAGGAAAAAGGTATAGAAATAAGAGATGGGGCTCAGAGCTGCAGAAGTCTGGCTAGTTCTCCTGGCTAGCCCAGTCACCGTTGAGTCGCTTACCTGAGGAGGCTTTTGGAGGGTTTCACGGAGTGGAACCAGTCTTGTCTGTGATAGTTTGAGGTTGATAGTGCACTGAGCCCACAGAGATTCCTGTTGCCTTCTTACTTCAAATTCTTAGGCTCTCCCAAAAGCCTTTTAACAAGGTGCAAAGTCATTTACCCGCATCAGACACATGCTGTCTGATGTACAGGCTTACAGCCAATTTTAGGTGAGAGAATTAGACCATTTTGGCTGCAGGGTCTTGGTTTCTGGCTCCCCATTTGCCATTTGATAGAATACCTGTTCAGGGTCAAGAATTTATGTAGGGTTTTTGCATTAACCAACTAATGGCTTTTTTTTTTTTTTCCAAAAGCCATTTACTAGAATTTAGCCTAATGAGAATTCCTCATTACCCTGGGGGACTTAATGAAATCCTAAACTTGGATAGTTGGGACCTCGGAGGAGTAGACATTCAGGAGTAGACAAAATAAAGGGTTCCAACATAAAAGTCTGTTGGCAGTAGTTACAATAAAAATTGATTTTTATTTAAAAAGCTGTATTTTAAACATCTGATCAAGGGTTTGCCTTGATCAGATTAGTAAGACTAACATGCTAATAAAATCACTATATCAGTAGTAATGGAATTTTTACTAAAATACCAGTATTTATTGTTATGTCAAAAAATGTTGCCAACAAACAGCAGCATGGTAAGGAGACGGCACGTAAAGGTGACTGGCTTCCAGCTACTTTCAGTGCTGTTTTCATGTAAAGGCCAATGTGAAACATCAGCTTGATGACTGAGGGTCTGGGTTAGCTAACTTATAATTCATTTACTCGAGTTTGGGATCTTTGGCCTATTAAGATATTTTATGAACTTTAGAAATAAGAAATTAAAAATCACTTAAGTCCTTATTGATATTTGAAGATCATATTTTGTTAAAACTTTGGTGTGGAACTGAAGAACTAAAGGTTGTTCAGATCAAGTCTATAGGTACTGAACCAAAATCTTTTTCCGACTCTTGGGTGTTTAGTCTCTTCTTACAAGGATGTGATGTATGTGAATATGATAATGTGAAATTATTTTATGTACTTTTTGGAGACAATGGGCTTGCTGTGCCTACCTGTGTTTTAAAAATTAATAAATATTATCTAGCTAATCATGATAGATGGTTTTAATTTATATGAAGAGATTATAAATAATATACATACCACTATATGGTATTAATAAATAAAATTGAAAGAATCAGTTAATTCTTTTCCTTTTTCTTTTTGTAGAAATTCTGGACATAGGTCTGGCAAGTTAATTGTTTTATTTGTTTGTTGAGACAGGGTTTCTTTCTATAGCCTTAGCTGTCCTGGACTCACTTTGTAAGCTAGGCTGTCCTTGAACTCACAGAGATCCTCCTGCCTCTGCCTCCCAGAGTGCTGAGATTACAGGCATGCACCACTGTGCCTGGATGCAAGTTAATTTTTTTTTTTATTTATGTAGGCAGTATGTGACAAAATAACACTTTGAAACGATTGTCTGGCAAAAGTGTGAGAGACCCAGGCCCAGGCTTAGAGCCTGCTTCTGCTGGGAGAGAATCCTTGTGTGCATGTTTGGAATGTCAGGCTTGCCACCGAAACAGGAACATAGAAACATGCTTTCTAAGATGATTTTCATCTTAAAAAATCTTAGTACTACTTATGGCTGGATCTGTATTAGACTGAAAAATGTGGTTGAATTATGAATGCTTAAGGCCTCCTCATGCAACCAAACCACAGGTGGGGAAGTAGAGACCACCGGAGCACGAGTGGCTTTAGGCTTACCTAGTGAGTTGAACTAACTGTAGCTTTTTCTCTATCGTTTCTTGTTGAGTATGTTTACGTCAGAAGGGAGCCCTTAGCTCTTCTGTTTGTATAAAACGTTATGTTCCCATAATTATTTCTAATTGATATTACTTTTTCTTTCTTAGTCTCAACCATGAAATACCTTGAGGATGTAATTAACCCGCAGTGTAACTCTCGGCAGTAGCGTGATAACACCTGACATGCCACTCACTGCAGACTTTTTAAAACAAAAATTACATTTTACTTGTTTCTCATGAAAATTTGTCTTCCCCCATTTTGGAGCCATCTCTAATATTTTTTCAAGACAGTGTTTCTTTGTGTGTAGCTGTGGCTATCTTGGACTTGTTCTGTAGATAAGTCTGGCCTTGAACCGTCTGCCCCTGCCTCCCAAATGCTGAGATTAGGGTCATGTGCCACTACCACCCAGCAAATTCTTTTGTTATTTACTTTGGCATACAGGGTCACTTGTAGAAGTGAGAAAGGTTCCAATTTAATTCTGGGAAAGCTATGTCAGTGGGGAATGAAAACATTGTATCTCAAGTCACCACACTTTTCCTGTCTCTAGACTAGGGTGAGATCTCCAGTCAGAGGATAAGAATATTGTAGTGTCACTGCCTTGCTGATTTTTTTTTGTCCCTCAACATTAGAAATCATAGCATATTAATGTGTTTCTCTACTAGAGTTGCATTAGAATAGCAACTGGAAGCGGAAATATCATTCATATTTTGTATGTAAATAGGTTTAGATAGTTTATAGAGTTTACTTGATGGCAAGCTAATTGGTGTTTGTGACATAAATTATGGTTGTTACAGTAACTTTTATTTGCCTGCTAACCTGGGTTTAGTCCTGTAAGCTTCTGGCCTCTGTACAGTCTAATCCAGGCCTACAATGTTTTCAGTTTCTGAGACTTACTACTGAACAAACTCCCCCCTCCCCCCTTTTTTTTCTTTCTGAACTCTGACTGGTTGGTCCAACTCAGCTGTTTTGGATCAGACTCTTCTCCTAGCTGACTGATGCAATGTGACTTCTCTCTTAGCCTCTGACTTAAACTCTGTTCTGGTTGGCCTCATACTCACTTTGGCAATCTGTTCTAATCTTCTGGCTCCTTCTCATTCTCTAGCCCATTCTATCTTCACCTGTACCTAGCTTGCTCTCTCTTCAACCTCTCTCTGTAAAACTCTCCTAGTAAAAACTGCCTCTGGACTCCATGAGCTGAACAGCAATGAACTCAACTCCATTGCACTGCCTCTCAACTCAGTCTTTCAACCAAACTGCCCAAACAGAACTCAGAGATCTGCTTGCCTCTGTCTCCTGGGATTAAAGGTGTATCTGTATTTCAGCCATGTTGTTGAATTAAAATTCCTCTACATCTGGTTGTGATTATTTAGAGCAGAAATTGATTTATAAAACCTTTCTTTAGATAAGAAGAGCTGGGAGCTGGAGAGATGGCTCAGTGGCTACCAGCTCTGGCTGAGCTCTCAGAGGAGTTGGCTTCAATCTTGAGCAGCTACAGGTCTGCTCACAACTCCACTTTCAGTGGACCTGATGCCCTTTTCTGGCCTGCACAAGTAACAGGCACACAAGTGGCAGACATAAATATGTAGGCAAAACATACATATTCAGAAAATAAAAAGTTTTAATAACTTATGTGAACTTTTGTAGACTCCTGCTATTACTTCCTTGTCTACAGACACTTCAAAGGAAGAGCTTCACTTAATAAATACTGGACTGATTTTCTGCTAAATTCTCTTTCTTTAATTATCAGAAGTGAAAGAAAATGGGATTTCCCCCACTCGGTTGTGCTAGTAGTGACGTATCTACAGAACTGCACAGCCTCTACAAATCAGTGAAGGCAAGGGTGGATGCTGGAGGAACAAATAGTCATGGTGTTCCCCAGAGATCAATATTTTGAAACTACAAATGGTTTGCAGGAGAGTTCTGTGAGTTCAAGGCCAGCCTAGTCGACATAGTGGAATGCTGTAAAAAAAAAAAAAAAAAAAAAAAAGTATGCTTCATTTTAATTTTGATTGATTCTGCCAAAATTTCCTCCAAAAAGAATACCAAATTATATTCTTATCCTTACTAAGTAAACAGATAACTCTTTTTTATATCAGATATTATTGTTATCATCTTAAAATTATTTTAATTTTATGTGAACGATGTCTGTGTCCCATGTATAAGTACTATGTATGTGCCTGATACCTGTGGAGGTAAGAAGAGGGGGCTGAGTCCCCTGAGACTGGAGTTACAGATGGTTTTGAGCTGACATGTGGGTACTGAGAACCAAACCCAGGTCCCCTAGAAGAATAGTACTTTTAACTACTAATACATCTCTCAGGTCCTTAGCTAATATCAATATATTTTATTTTGGTCAATCTGATGACCTCTGTTTGATTTGTACTTTCTTGGCTATCACTAGTGTTGCAAATATTTTTATATCTTTAATTTTTTTATATGATTATTGGCTGTTTAAATTTTTATGAGGTAAATATATGAAATATCTTGAAAAAAGAAGAGATGAAAGCTGATTTGGGCTTGAATGTTGGAGATTTCTCTCTGTAGATGTTTTTTCCTACCCCTAAAAATAAAGGGAAATATTAAATTCAGGTAACATCTATGTATAATATGACTACCTCAAAATATGTTGTGGGTCAAAAATTAATACTGAGAAATGCAGTCTAGTCAGAAGAAAGAAAAGGGGACAGAGCTCAATGTCTCTGATGGGTCTTGGGCAGAAAATATGATGATGATAAATAAGCACTACTAGACTGAAGGGATGAAGTCTGCTGCTTGAATGGGCAGAAATCGGGCAGCTGGCTCTGCCCAGGGTTGCTGGGTTCTGCCAAACCATATTCCAGGAGGTGGCAGTAGAGCCCTACTCACCATAAGCCATAGCCGTCTCGAGGGGGAAAATGCTAGAATCTATGATGAATTTTGTGAATGTAGTATCTGTTCCCTTTGTCCATGCATTGAAAAATGGTCATGTTCTACTTTTTTGGGTTTAACCATGTGTGTATATCTGTGTATGAGTCTGTGTATGGGTATGTGCACGTAGGTGTGTAGGCGCCCAAGGACAAGAGAGGCATCAGATTCTCTTCCACTGGAGTTAGAGGTGCCTGGAACCTAACTCACTGAGCCATCTCACAGCACTCTTTCCTGTATGTTTGTTTTTGTTTTTGTCAGGGTACAGTGTGCTAAGGTGAGGTTGATCGCTGGAACCATAGGGATGGCCCAGGAACACTGTCACGGGCATCAGAAGGTACTGCCAGTGCAGCGGTGCTCCCTGGAAAGCACTGAGGGCACACCGTTCATCCAGGCTCCAGGGGTTTATAAAACGCTCTGGGTTGGTGGACCAACCAGGCTGGCTGGTCACGATCTCCTCACAGCCCCTGTGATTCTCAGGGTTCCCCTGAGGCCGGCAGGCGGCTGGAGACTCCTAGATCAGCAAGGCAGAACAGCAGCTGGTTGGGAAAATGGTAATAATGAAGAGCTGTAGATGCCATCAAGAGTCCTGGGTATAAGACGAAGAGTCCCAAAATGAAGCTGGGGAGATGGCTGAAGGCAGACTGTCAGGGATGCTGAGCAGCACACATCGAGAGCACCAGTCTTTCAAGGCTTGGAACATGTTCAGAACCCACTGGAGACCCGTCCTTCAAGTGTGATGTGTAAAGCAGTGGTCAGTCAGCCCCCACAGTGGATGGAAATTGGAAGGCTGAAGCTTTCTCCCTCGATTCTGTTCATCTACACAATGCAGTCCCAGCGCTGATGGCAGTTAGAAATGACAGCTGACAACAGTTCATCGAAATTTTAGTTTTAAAAATGCACAGCAAAAACTAGAATCTATTTTATGTCTAAAAATATAAGTCCATCTTTCAAAATGTTGATCTGTGGAGGGAGCAGTCACTGAAAAAAAAAAAAAACTGAATCAGGGAGGGAGTGGAAAAAGATGCAGTAGCTATGATATTACGGAGACGGGAGGGTTTTAGACCAAGGCTAGAACACAGTTCTACTGCTGTAGTTATGAGAGCCACCCCTGTCCTGAGAAGAACAACTAGTTCTTTTGAGTGAAGGAAATCATGAAAAACACTTCCAAAGTTAAAATGGTTGTTATATGCAGAATATATAGGAAATCCTGTCTTTTGTACACTCTCCATCTATATGCATGTCTTGACCTGGCCCTGCAGAGAGGTTTTACAGAGAGGACTAGCCTCAGTTTTAATGAGTATTTATTTTGAATGTATGTGTCTGGGCATTTTGCCAGCATATGTGCATGTATGTATGTGCACCACATTCATGCCAGGTGCCCACAGAGGCCAGAAGAGGACATTAGGGCCCCTGAGACTGGAGCTGCAGATAGTCACCACGGGGTGCTGGGAATTGAACCCTAGTCCTCTGAAAGAGCAATAAGCCATCTCTCCAGC